TTTCTTCTTCTTTTTTTTTTTTTTTGATAAGTTTTTGCTACATGGCTCGTGCGCTTGCCAGAAAGACAGACAGAGAGATAGAAAGCGAGAAATCACCCCCTCAGGGGGGATGGCCACGCCACAATCCCTTCTCCATTCTCCTCTCAGGATCTTGGGCACGCCCGGCGTGAGTTTAAGCCACCAGATCCGGGACTTGAACTGTGGTCGACTACATGGGAATTCAGCGACATAGCCATTACACTAACTGTTGGTCCCATTATTTTATTTTTTTTTTTAAGAGAAATTTTTGCTATAGTGCACATGTACTCCCTGGAGACACAGAAGGAAATAGAAAGTGAGAACTCACCTTTTAGGGGGATTGGCCACACTGCAATCCCTTCTCCATTCCCCTCTTAGGGACACATGCACACGCACCCGGCATGAGTTTCTAGCTGCTGGTCCTAGACTCAGTTTGCAGTCAGCCAGGTGGGAGTCCAGCGCCTTAACCACTATGCCACCTGCTACCCACCCCCCACCTTTAAACTAGATTTCATTTATAGGAAAACTGTCAGGGATTTCTGTTTTATTTTGTTTATAATGCTATTTTAGCTTTGATTTTTAATCATTAGAATTTCTAAGGGATGTCTCTTTTTAAAAAATTAGTTACTTAATCTGTTTTGTTTTATTATAAAAATTTTAGTGTTAACTTTTATGTTGTACTTAACTGCTTACACTCTTCTGGGTAGAATACCTTGACTCTTCCTTGCATGTTTCTCTATCAAAGTAGTTTATTATGGTTATATTCCCTTTTTTTCTTAAGAATTATTTTTTATTTTACTCATTGTCTTTATTTTATTTTTATTTTGAAGTTGACTAGAGAGAGACACAGAGAGAGAAGAAAAATGAGAAAGCAAGTTGTCTGGTCCAGGACTCAAACTGCGGTCAGCCATGTGGGAGTCCAGCTGCCTTAACCACCACACCACCTGCCGGCCCCTGTTATGGTTATATTCTTTCTCAGAAGGGGAGCAAATGTTTTTGAAAATCTGTGTTTGAATGTCTAAGTATTTAACAGCATATGTTTGTATTTTAGGGACTGTAAAATGTGTTGGTTTCAGGGACTAGCAGTTAGTGTAATGGCTATGTCACTGGACTCCCATGTATTCGACTGTAGTTCGAGTCCTGGACCTTTTGGCTTAAACTCAGGCCAGGCGCATGTGCGTGCATGCCCAAGATCCTGAGAGGAGAATGGAGGAGAAAGGATTGTAGCGCGGCCATCCCCCCGGAGGGTGATTTCTTGCTTTCTGTCTCTCGGTCTCTCTCTGTCTTTCTGGTGAGTGCACGTGCCCTGTAGCAAAAACCTCTCCAAAAAAAAGGAAAAAAAAATGTGTTGGTTTCTATTTTATTGATGGATTGTTTTTACCATAGGTACCTGTGTGCACCTGAGAGAGACAGAGGGAAAGTAGAGAAATCACCCCTCCTGAGGGGATGGCCACACTGTAATTCCTTCTCCTCCACTCTCTTCCTGGGATTTTGGGCATACAGGCACACATGCCTGGTATGCTTTTTCAAGCCTCCAGGTCCAAGACTTGAACCCAAGTCGGCCATGTGGGAGTCCAACACTTTAATTACCACGGCACACACTTGCCTATGGCACATGGATTTTTAAAATTGCCAACATGTGTGTTTGGTCATCAGAGAGAGATGGAAGGAGGAGAAAGCACCGCCCTACCCTACCCCCATGGAGCGTGGTCACACCTCAGTCCCTTCTCTATTTCTCCATCCTCTTGGAATTTTAGGCACACCCACACACATCTGGCATGGTCTTCTGGTCACTGGGGCCAGAATTCAAACCATGATTGGCCTTGTGGGATCCAGGTCCCTTAACCACTGTACTGTGGGTCTGGCCCTGGATGTTTGTCTTTAAGAGAGTTCAGTTCTTTCTACCTTAGCCTAGGTTCTTTAATACTTTAAAAAGTTATTGTGACCCTTTAGTTGTGTCTTTAAAGGGAACAGGATTTGGATGGTTGGAAAATGAGAAAATTTCTCTGCATTTTAGAAGTCAAGGTAAAATCAGGGATTTTATCTAAAAATGCCATTTATGGGTTAAACCAGAATCTCTCATAGATTGCTATCTGTAGTACCATATACAGTTTAATATCTATAAATTTGGGGGTAGAAAAGTGGACTAAAAGATTTTATAACTGGAAAATTAAGTAGATTTGAATTTTTATTAAAGTATAAATTAGGTATTCATGGTTTGTTTTAGTCTTTAGATGCTCTTGTGGTGCCTGTTGTGGATAGATTTATGTTTATATATATATATACACATATATGTATATATATATATATATATTGTTAACTCTGTGTTGCTATGTGAAACAGCTAATTTCCTGTTAGAAGCTAATGTTTACTTGGCTATCCTTGATAAACTGGAAGAAGTTGAAGATTATTCTTCTATAAGTCTATAAATGTAATAAGTACAGTTGAAATCTGTCAGTGAAAATAATGTATTTAAGTACCTGTGGGGTTAGAAGAAATTAGAATATTAATATTCAGTGTATTTGGGTACTGCTGTTATTAGGGAATCTGATCATAACTCATTAAAACGAACCTTTAAAAAGTCAACATTTGGTTACAAAGTCCAAACAAGATAGAAACTTGTACATTTTCTTCATTTTTCTGAGATGTACTCCATGATTCTTATAGCAGAATGAGTGTTGTTTTTTTAAACTTAGTGGTCAATTTTCTCTCTCTCTTTTTTTTTTTTTTTTAGTTTTGCTATAGGGCATGTACACTCACTGGAGGGGCAAGGGGAGTGAGAAGTCACCCGCTGGGTGGGATGGCCATACCACAATCCTTTCTCTTCCATTCTCCTCTTGGTATTTTGGGTGTGGATGTACACGCACCCGGTATTGTCTCTCTGGATGCCAGATCCAGAATTTAAGCCATGAAGTCGGACATGTGGGATCCAGCCACCCTAACCACCATGCCACCTGGCTGACCCTCAGCATTGTTTTAAGTGTTTATATTTTGTCATTCTAAATGACAGTGACTCTAAGCATGGTGCCTAGAATTTAGTAATTTCTTGGTAAGGTTTTTTATGGTTTTTGAATGAACATTCAGGTAGTCTGTAACAGAAGCCATCTCCTAGTAATTGAAATGCTCAATGTTAAGGCCTCTTCCTGGTTCATTGATACAAATTCCGCCCATGTCTTATTAAATATATATGAGAGGAATGTGGAGTAGCCGTACATGTGTGTTTGTGTTTCTTTCTGTCTGGCCACACACAGTGTGTCTTTTTGTGGTTTTGTTTTGTTCGTTTGTTTTTTATATATAGATTGACTTAGGAAGTGTAAAAATATCACTAGTATAAACCCAACACACATGATACAGAATTAGGCCAGTTTTGGATTATTGAATGGATACAGCTATTCTGTAACCATAGTGTTCAGATGGCTCTCATAAATGACTGCATATACAGCTGCTCAATAAAGGGATTTCAGATAACGAAAAAAATAATGAAATCATTGATCTGCTCCAGTTCTAGACACTGATCCAAGACTTTGGTTTTTTTTTTTTTTTTTTTGAGAGGTTTTCGCTATAGGGCGCATGCGCTCGCCAGACAGACAGAGACATAGAGACAGAAAGCGAGAAATCACCCCCCAGGGGGGATGGTCACGCCGCAATCCCTTCTCCTCCATTCTCCTCTCGGGGATCTTGGGCATGCACGCACACGCGCCTGGCGTGAGATTTAAGCCACCGGGTCCGAGACGCGAACCGCGGTCGACTACGTGGGAGTCCAGCGACACAGCCATTACACTAACTGCTGGTTCCCAAGACTTTGGTTTTTTAAGACTGGCCAAGTATGAGATTTACCATTAAGTGTTTAAAGTAAAATAAAAAAACCTTTCTATCCAGTTTGACTGAAAACCTGGGTTTGCTTCCCTCTGAACTGTACAGTTTTCTGAAACTTGAGAGAAGACATTTGCCTAGCACAGCTGTTAACTTCCTACAACTGAAATGCTTTCCATTCCCCTTAGAATAAGCCCTTCTGAAGCAGAATGTAGATCACATGCATCATCCAGACCAAAAAAGTTTTGCAGGGACTAGTCCTATCGTTTGCTCTGGGTCCGGAATCCTCACATTCCAGGCAGAGCTCCAGCTGTTCAGATTTGGTTACCCAGTTGGGATTGGCTGTGCTGCCTGCTCTTTTCTCCTCCCCTTAATTTTTACTGGAAGAAAGCTCAAGAGCTGGAGATTAAATGTAAATGCTGTCACCAGGCCTTCTGAGTGCAGCTGGCACCATGGGTGTGCTCCAGAGCAACTTCTGTTTGCTCTGAGCCCCCTGCCCTGCCTCCCCTTTCACCATGTTTCCTCTGGCAAGATTTTAAGTACAGCAATTCAAGAAGATTTTTCCTCCTGACTAGATTAATCTGAAGTGTATTGCCTCTTGATTGCTGGAAAAGAATCTTAAATAATTTAAAATAATTTCAAGTAACTTATGAACAAACTTATTAAAAGTGATGAAAGGAGCATTGAAATTGATTAACACCAGCTTTTCACTGTGCCAAAGTGTACAGTGTCTTTCAGAGGAAACTATAACATATCTGGTGAGTGTGCCATGCCAGTGGGGAGAATTGAATGTCCCTCATCTCCCTCTTTCCCTAGGCACAGTAGTCATGATGGCAGAGTGC